TTAGTTTGAACTCTTACTCATACTTTATATTCTAGGAATGGATTCAATTGGACTTGCAAAGGCAATTACCAAATACTGGACTAAGACATATGGAGAAGAGAGATCTCCTGACTCAGACAACCTACCATATGTTACTGTTAGTGGTATACAGCACAAGGTTAAAAGAGCACTCTCTAGTTGGTCTGCAAGAGCCTGGCTTCTAAAGCTTGGATGGAGCTGGAAGGAAGTTACGAAAGGAATTTATAAGAATCGACATGAAAGATTGGATGTTATCGATTATTGCCAAAACACTTTTCTTCCTCCCTTGTGATCCCTCAAATCAACCCTAATCGATTGGAATCAGAATTTAAAACAAATTCCAATGATACTACCAGATGGTGTTCACCCTATTGTATTCATTACACATGATGAGTGTACATTTAACTCAAATGATGGCTGCAAGTGAATTTGGATTCACAATGACAAGGTACCAATATGAAAGAAAGGTTGAGGCTAAGGCCTACATGTTTCTGAATTCTGAACACCAGTAGGAAGACTAGGTAGAGGTAGTACCTGTAAGATACTAAAATGCGGAGGGGATATCTGGTGGACTAGAGAGTTACTATTAAAACAACTCACCGAAAAAGCTATTCTAGCTTTTGAAAAAGCATATCCTGGCTGTCAAGGACTCTTTGCTTTTGACAATACTAAAGTCCATTTAAAGTATGCTAGTAATGCATTGCTTGTTGGTAATATGAATCTAAACCCTAGAGGCAAAAATACTATCCCAATGAGAGATGGGTTCTTTACAGACCCACAGGATCCGATAATAGTTTGCATACAGTCAATGATGTTACCCAATGGTCCACTGAAGGGGCTAAAAATTATATTGCAAGAGCATGGCCTTTAGCCATAGGATCGTAAATTCCTAACTCAGTGCTCAATTCTCGGAGAAAAACCTAGCGAAAGGAAACCAAATCCGGCTTGCAAACATGTACAGAATACTACCTGCTGTGCACATGTACTGCTCTCGTCACAGTCCAACTTTTAAGAACAAAAATGTGAGTTACAAGAAACTTTGGAGTCAGCTAGACACCAGGTTATATTTTACCCAGCTTTTTACTGTGAATTGAACTTTGTTGAATACTTTTGGGGCTGAGCAAAATTATACATCAGAGCAAATTGCGAATATTCCTTGTCTTCTTTGGTTCGTCTAGTCCCTAAGGCACTTAGTCAGGTACCAGAACTCTTGATTTGGAAATACCATCAACGGACATTACGCATGATGGATGCATATTGGAATAATATGATATATGGGTCTGAGGATTTTAAAAGGCATATTTATGCCAGGTATTCATCATATAGAAGGATTGTTGAATCAGAACTTCATGTATAATATTATATAATTAAAAAAGATAGATATTCTATCTTAAAACTACTTCTTCTGATTATAAAAAAACAAAAAAAAGTGTGACAAATCATGAAATAAAAGTTTTAGGGTTGATAACCTGGAAGCCAAAACAAATAATTACTAAGGCATTACGGTTGCCGTTGCAGGAAAAAGTGTCACACTTTTTGTTGGAAAATTGGTAAAAAGTTTAGTTTTCCAGAACCATACATAATATATGTTTCTCTGCTTACTAAAATACTAATTATATAATTTCATTTTCGGATACTACTGGTACTTAGGGTATGTTTTCCAAACTTGAGATAATGTTCAAGTTTCTCTAAATGATTTACTGTATCCTCCTACCTCTGTCCTATCTATCTAGTATTTGTATATGTCAATACTTACTAATAAAGGCTTTGCTGTAGATAGTCTGACTCAAATTCAAACAACTGTAACAGGAAGGGGTCTGAGAGTTCAGATAGACCAAGGCACACCACTATCAGAGAATGTCAGAGTACAAGGAGGCTGGATACAGGCATACAAACAAACATTGTTTGCACTGAGTGGAGGTGTTCAGGGGTCCAGGGTTTCAGGGTCAAGGTTCAAAGGTTCAGGTCTCGCATAACTGAGAGAGAAAGAGAAGTGTATTGCCTAGGTACAGGCATCCAGAGGTAAATACCAGATTGTGTAAAGAAAGTAAACTCATAAGGGGCACATCCCATTATATAGACAAAGAAAACCCATAGATCAGTAATCCTCTATGAGTCACATACAGCTACAATCACCCTACTCTCTCCTATTAGTTTCTGTCACATAAGCTCACCACCAATCCTATAAGACACCCAACCCATCTAGTATAAAAGAAGTCCCTGCGTGGCAACCGCACCATCCCAATCCTGGTGGCTGTGACAACATCCTAAGTTGAAGCTTGCTTATTGCAATTCTTCAGAGAGTTTCAAAATTAAAACTAGCCTATAAATTGCAGCTCAACTGGTGGAACTCTATAGGATCAGAGCAGTTGAGGTCAGATTCATTGAATTTGGTCCTTCTCAGGAGTCAAAGCATGGTCCGGATATGATAGACCTTGGCATATACATCCCAAGATCTAAAAAGGACTCTGGATGTGTCCACCGCAACGTCTCTATTTTGTCTTCATCCCGTTGCACTGGTTTATGTCATCACGAAGTGTAAGCTATCTCGTACTACGTGGTGGGGAGATGGTTGTCCTTTAGTGTGATGGAATAATCCTGCGTGTTCCTGGGATACCAGGCAGACCCTACCGTACTCGTACGTCCTCCGCATGTTTCTGGTTTATGGCAAAGAAAAAGGGCAAGGATGGAGAATCTTATTCCAGTAGATCGCAGAAGCCTTGGCTCAAAGGAGACGTTTTCAGCTCTCACCGTCAACGAACAGGCGGCCCTTATCAGCTCTAAGTTTGTATTGCTGGGTTTGTGTGATTATGGACAGGGAACTTTTGGAGATGGGATGTTACCCTTTGAAGCATGCCGGCATCACGGATGAATGGAGTCAGCGGAATTCGGTCTGATTACATATCTATTGTACGGTATTATGGATATGAAAACCGCGGGTAGCCGTAGCTACCCTTCCAACAAGATGCGGCTATGATACCCCGTAAATCACTGCAGATAATGCGAGGTAGTTTGGATGCGATATTTTTTTCTGTTCCTCGAGGGGGTAGGCATGGCACAACAGGAAGGAATCAAGTACAGTAGTCACCCAGACCTTGCTATGATACCTGTATCATGTTATAACGAGCATAGAGGGAGGAGGGATGGACGCAGTAGAAACCACTACCACTGTGTGAAAAAATAATGCCTGCGCACTGATAGAACCCAATCCACGGTCAGATATCATACCGTACAGTACAGTACAGTACGAGCATCACCGCCGGCGAAAGTATCATACGGTAAGTTACCATTCAACCAACACCCCCCCCCTCCAATCCACTCATTCCACATCCTACACTCCTCCGACACTTCAGAACCACACCCTCTCTCTCCCTCAACTTCACAACGGTGGCCGCCGCTCCGCCGGCGGGGACAACCATTTGATAGCACCGATACCGACAAAAACATCCAATCATGTGATACTGTGCTGCACCATACCTAACTTGCCATCCAACATCCACCATACCGCACCACCCACCCATCCACCCATCCATCCATCCACCACCCACCCACCTGACACTTTTTTTTAAAAAAGGAAAACCAACAGCACATGCCAAACATGTTCACACCGGGCCCCACCTGCGAAAACAAACAAACAAGCAAACAAAAACAACAAACGAGCAAACAAGAGGAATACTGTACTGTACGTCACCGAGAGTGGAAAATATCATCCGTCACGAAATTTAAAGATCGGGAAAACCGTTTTTGTCGGTTCAGGGACTCGAGAGGAGGTTTGGGCGGTTGTGATGTTTAGATAAACTATATTAAATGCGCCTGCTATCGTACTCGTATGATTTGTGTCGGGGAAGGGGGGAAGAGGGATAGAATGGGAGGGTGGGAGGGTGGGAAGGAGAAAAGCTTGATACAACAACCGATACTTTCTGGCACGAGCTGTGTACTCGTACTGTACTGTACTGTACGAGTACAGTACAGTACTTGAAAGTTACTACCCATGATATGAACGCTGTTACCGCTCCTAGCGATCCACAACTAACATAGCAACAATATTCCACAGATCGACACTACGAGAGCTCGGATACCCAACCCCTCCATCCTCCCCTCCCCTAAAAAGGGAAGATGAAAAATAGCGCCTGTTGATCCTACCTCACAGCATTCCCTCCCCTCCGTTCCCCATCTACCGTACTCGAGCACCGGTATACCGGTACAGTACTTTGTCTATATACCGTTACTCGTACCATACAGTACCCCAACAACCAACCAACCAAACCCAGCTCCCCCAGTCATGTGTAGCCAGGCACCGCATCATACTCCCCAAGACCCATCCAATACCAAAAGAATTACACACAGCCCCAAACGCCAAGTCGATCCCATCTCACGTCGTACAAAACTGCTCCCTCCCTCTTCCTCCCTTCCCCTTGCTTGTCGTCGAGTGGCACAGTGCGATGGGGTACTGTACGAGTACCGGTACTGGGAATTGAAAAAAATAAAATAAAAATGATTAATTCCGGAAACAAGTGCGGTAAGCAAGGAATGGGGCCAATAGGGTTAAGAGTGAGGAAGGAAGCCGAAAAAGAAAGGAAGACAATAACGGTTCTGTGTTCTAGAACCGGTACTTGTACCAGTACCTACTTGTACCGGTACTCGAGTACAGTACCCGTAGGGACTGGAGTACCGAGTACAAGAAAAAGCAAGGAGGTTTTTTTTTTTTTTTTGGTTGGCGTGGATCATGCAAGCATCATAAGTTTATATACTCGAGCATATGAATTCGGGTTTAAACTCGGTAGGGATACGTGCGATAATATGGTAATGCTGTAATATATATATAAATATGTATCGTATATAAGATACATAATCAAGGCATTGGAACTCTAGTATGGTAGCTTATGCCGTGACGCACAGGCAAGAGGGAAGGCATTATACATCCCGTCCAGGCCAGTCCGCCGGTGAGGCGGTAGGCAGGTGTGCAGGTGCGATAAGCGGCATTAGGTAGCAGGGGGGCCACGAGACCGACTAGGAATTCTTGAAATCGTCGGAGCATCAAGTCTCGCATTATCGTCGGGAGTGAGTGCGAGTTTCTTCATCTATTAGTTAACCCCCGCGATGATAGAGAGAGAGATATGGGTGGATGGAAATTCTCACAGCCCCCCGGCTCGCCAACACATGCGCCCGATTCCACTCCCTCCGAATCAACCAGAACAAGATCTGCCCTCGGATATTCATAATCCCTCTCAGCAAACGGTCCCACAGGTCCGCATTCGGCACCAGACCTTCACCCAGCAGGTTCTCGCTCGATCCCATTTGCCCCACGCTAGGGGTATTCTTCTTCTTCTTCCACCCAATAGCCCGCCGCTTCCAAGCCCAGTATGTAGCTCCCATGACAATATAAGTCGAATCGCTAGCGATAATCCAGTTGTCCGCAATAGCGTCGCGTTCGCCCTCGTCACCGTCGCGGGGAGAGGTTGCGGCGTCAGTGGCAGTGGGTTCGCGGGCAATTAATTCCAACGCGCGCACTGCTGCCCAAAGCTCCGCTCGGTTGTTCGTCGTGCCGATGGGTAGCGGGCGGCATATGTTTAGTGATTCATCCGGCGAGCGGTAGACGCCGCACCCGGCTCTAGCATGTGGACTTCCATTGCCGATGCTCGTGCCGTCGATGTAGATTAGGGCTCTTGTACGGTCCTTGATATGGTAGAGGAGCGAATTTGGGGATCCAGGAGCTTCGGTGAGGGGCTTGAAGAGCTGTTCCGGGCTCTGATTAGGATCCTCGGGCTTGAAGATATCCGGCGGTAGGAGCGGGTCTGGAATTTCGTGTCTATAGCAGGAAAAAGTGGGGGGAACCGTGGATGGTGCGTTAGTAATGCTATCTCTGAACGCGCTTTTGAGCGCTATTTGTAGTGATTGCGAAGTGGGGACAAACACCTTACCGCCGAGAAAGACCGATGGGCTGATTGCTACGAGTGTAGCGTTGGTGTCGGGAGATTGTGAGGTGGAATGTTTGGATAAATTGCCTGTGTTTGAATTGACGGTTGGTGAACGACGGGATCAACGGTGATATTCTCTGCATAGTTTTTAGTACAATCATAGTTTCATCGTCAAGGTGTGTGTTTGGTTTCGGATGCGGAAGGGTGCGACCACCGAATGATCTGCCCCCAAAGGATTAATGATTTGTCACCTTGGATGGGTTGGTCACATGACATTGAACTTGCGGTTCGCTTATGATAAGGTTTTGATTTAAAGTTTGCCATGCCGGATCTAACCACATCCGCAGATTTAAAGACAAGTCATCGAATGTCAATGCGTCCCTAGAAAACAAAATGAAACTCAATGAACGCCCATTACAAAACATGAGAGCATTTCCCCCCTTAATCATTGAAGAGCCTCCTGAACCTTCTATTCGTGATATGCCTTAAAAACAAGCTGAGCTATTGTTAAAATATCTGTTAAAAAGAGAAACAAAGTAAAAAAGACAGGAACATGATAGATCTTTCTGGATTCCTAATGTTCACTCGGCAAGAGTAATCAGTTGCCCCTCCGTAATGGCCAACCCACTCTCTCTAGGGCCGCTTATCCCGCTTAACGCCTTCTGGAGGGTGTTTCCATTCGAAATTCTGTTGAGGAGTGAGAACCTTCCTCCAATGGCGAGACGCTCTATGTTCTGGGGACCGGGAAGCCCAATCCCCCCATTACCGTCTTCTCTGGTCAATATCTTTTTGATACTACGGGTGTCTAGCGTTTCAGCGGAATTCCTACTTCCACGCCATCTCGTAAAACCACTAGCGGGAGTTGGAGATGGGGGTGGTAGCGGTGCGACAACTCCATCTGGCCTCTCATGAGAGAACTTGCAGGAGGGCCAGTAGTCGCACTCTCCGAAGCGGAGGAAGAAGGTACAGTGAGTCTTGATGTGCTTGAGAGGGTCTGTTGCGGACTGAATACGGCCCGGGGTCGGGCAGGATATCACACCCTGTAAGCCGCTACAAGGCATTGTAGTAAGAGAGTCTTGAGAGACCTGAAAAGATTAGTCGGGCTATAGAGGAAGAAACAGTGCGAAATAGCCTCAAAGATGGCTAAAAGTGCTTACCTTTTTTTCCTCAGAACCCGTGTCAGTTATTGGCGATGCGACTCTCCTCCATTCACCCTCCATCTTCTTGAGAGTGGAGGGAGTACCGGCACCGTTGCTTCCCCTTTTAAAGCAACGATATTTCTCGCCCACAAAAGAGCTGGGTTCATTTTCGTGAAGATAGAAGCAATCCTTTCCGCGCCTGCACCCGATCCTGCGGTGGAAATAAGCGCAGAGTTCGGTTTTCCTGCCTCTAGTGTTAATGCCGCAGGTCTCACCGTCGGCTGCACCACTCGCCGCAGCAGCCATACCACTACTGCCGCCGACTTCACCAGCGTCAGAAGAACATTGATTATCGGGGTCTCCATCAGCTTCGGGTCTGCAAAGTGTATCCCCTGGAGACCCGGCTCCATCCGGGGCCACAACACAGTTTGACCTCTGCCACTTTTCTGGCCTCAATGGGGTCTCATGACGGAAAGTGCATTCGGAACCCCACTTGCAAACCGCATCACGGAGGAAGCTTTGGCAGAGATCTTTCTTAAACAAACCCGAAGCCTTCAGACGGGACTCGCGAGCGGTAAGAGCTTCTGGGAGCGGGAACGGGGAATTACCATTCTGTGACTTGGCCTGTGAGTGATTTGGGTGAAGGTAGAATTGATCATTGTCCAGAGTTTCCTCTCCCCTCTGAGGAGCAGAGCCAGTGTTGGAACCGGGGATTGCACACGTGTGCATTTTCCTGGCTTGAGTGAGACAATTGTGCAGCGGATCCGAGGGAACGGTTCCAATCCTCTCATTTTCATCATCACCATTTTCGAATTCCCTCTGCGTGTCATTGGCCTGTATTTCATCCCTAGGCAGCCCAGGGATTTCGCCCCCGGACGGTTTTGCAATCTCCTGGACAAGGGTGATGCCACCTATCATGTCGAGCGGAGGAATGACCGTAACTATTGCTGGAAGGTCCTCGGCAGCAACAAGAGGGCAAACTGAGCCGTTCTTACAGAACAAGAGATATCGATACCGAACCTGCAGCTTTTCTGAATCGGGAGAGCCCATTTGGGGGCCGTGTGTCTGAGCTGAGCTTGCTGCAGCCATTGCTCAATTTGAAATAACACAACACTAGTAAATATCACAAGGGTATATACGATGTACGAGTATGCTGGCGGTGAGATGGTAGAAGATGAGGTATAGACAGCTAGCAATAGCTGAGTAGGAAGGTGAATCGTTGGTACATATGATCGGATAAGGAGAGAGGGGGGGAGTGGTAGAGTGGCGGAAAGTCAAGTCTCTTATTACGAAGAGATGATTGTCACAACCTTCTCGGCTGCGTCCGATACCACTCCCGCTGCCGGTTGTTTGTTAGGAAAGAATGAAAAGGAAAGAGCAAGGGATAGAAGGAATATTACATTTGAGTGGTTGGATAGAAGTTTTTTTTTTTTTTCTTCTTTTTTCCTTTCCTTTCCTTTTTCCCCCTCCGGATAAGAGAGGGTGTGTGAGCCTGTGCTTGGTGGGTAAGGGAAGTGCTTTGAGGGAACCAAACAAGCAGAGGAGTGAGAGGGAATCCGAGGGAGCGATGGAGGATGGGGAATGGGAATTGTGTGATTGTGAAAATTTGTGGGAGTGTGTGTGTGGGAGATGTGGGAGGGGTTTAGTGGAGGCAGCGTACCGGTATGTGGGAGCAAGGGATTAAGCATGTAGGAATATACGCTGTACAAGTATAGGAATATAATACGTATGCTACATACAAAGCCGGCAGGCAAATTCGCACATGCCGGTAGACCACCGTACCGGTGCACTGGTACCCAGACAGAAGCCCAGAGAGGCCAGGCAGGGGAGACAGGGGACGGCAGTATGAGAGAGAGCAGCAAAGGAGTTAGCATCTGATAACATATGAGACTGTGTGAAGCCGACGTGGACATGCATTTGAGGATGAACAATTCTTCTGCCAGAAATTTGTAGAAGAAGATAGGGAAAGGAGGGGAAAAAACAAAGAAAGAAACCTCTACCACAAGAAAGATTAGAACCCCGATGATGGTCGTGATTGTGTCGTGCCTACGGTGAGTTGCCTGATTGCTTGGTTATTTCCGGTTCGATATGATGGTGATCGCGTGTGATGCGGATATCCGTATAGCACTGTATCGGTGGCGGCAGACCCACTTCGGCTTCCCCAGGGGAAGGTGCGGGTATAGAGAGTAGTATGGTATAAGTTAATGGGGGGAGGATGAACCGGGGCATTCTCGCAAATGATGAGTGATAGTCCACCCGATTCACCCCTGTGAGTATACACATAATACTCGTACATGCTAACTTAGTCATAAACGCTTGGAAATCCGGTGCCGATTCTTGCTGGGAGGGGGAATAAGCTAGGCTTCCCTACCAGCCCCCCCACAGTGATAGAGTGTTCATCTCATGCCACACCTCAACCTCTGGGAAAGCTGGAAAGACTTGAGCGGTGTGCGGTGAAGTATGAGTATATAATGCAGGGTATGTGGGCTGTAGGCAGCGATGCTCAAACCCCCACACCACCACCTCGTTCCGCATCCAACCTCAACCCTACCAAGCATTCGCCACATCTCACTTCTCATCGGCTGTGACATGACAGTAAAAATCAAGGGCACACAAACACCAGTAGAGCCAACCCGGTTCCGGGTCAGACAAGAAACAAATCATCTCCTACCAATGGCATCCCCCCCCCCCCTGTGTTTTATAGGGAATAAGAGACGATTTTTATGGCTGGAATCCCCCACAGCCCACAACTTCAAGTACCGTGGGTACCTCACTGGTACTGTAGGGTACTGTAGTGGCCCTGTAGCAAACAGTAGACCACCCGGCTAATGACGGGCCACCATGGGGCAAGCTCGGGCAATCCTTATTCAATCGAACCACGAATGGCCGTAGTGGTGGGACAGCTCGGGCCATCTATTATTTTGTGAGGTAACTAGGGCCAGTGGCTTTTGGCGAGTGACAAGAAGAAGGTTAGGTCTTGTGGCGACTTCTCTCTTGGTGCCGGAAATGTGGTCACTGGGCTGAGGGAGTGCACGATCCTCCCCTTCGAGCCTACCGGTAGACCAACGGTCACCAATCCCATTTCATCATCAAGTCTTAGGCAGTACCCCAGGGGGCTTTTTTAACGCAATCCTGTCTGTGATTTCTTGTCTTTTTTTTTCTTTCTCGTCCTCTTGCCCTGTCTCCCCCCTCTGCCCTACCCCCCACCAACCCAACCCACCACGGCAGATCCTCTCTGTCGGGAACATAACCTTCTCACCGAAGGGTCAGTTGAAATAGCTGTCTTCTCCCACCCAGGTCCAGGGTCTTATCTGTAAGCTCCCTTACCTTACCTTGTTGTTGCCGGCGCCTAGGAAAAAAAAATACACACACACACACGAAAGCCCTTTTTCCGCTCACCCTTTTATTTCCCATTCACTAGAATAAAGTATCATACCGCCTCATCACACAACGAAATATATCAACAGTTTTTTTTTTAAAAAAAAAAACTCCTTTCGTCTCGGATCTATTGAATCGGTATTCTGAAAAGGGGCACGCCCCCCCCCCCCTGGCAAACGTCCTACTGGTATTACAACAATGGGACCACGAGGCGCCCTTCTCCTGGTTGGTTTGCAAAATGAATTCCTCGACCCCCACATGGGCCGTTGTCTCATGACCCCTCCGGAGCCCGGCAAACCATCCTTTGTCGATAACATTAAAAATTTCCTCCCTTATTTTCGCACAAGGGGTGGCGACGTCATCTGGGTACGTTCCGAGTACAGAAAACCACGTGATTGTGAGGATCCCAGGAACGATGAGGTTGTACTTCTTGTCGACGATGAGGGGTATTATATGGATGAGGTCGAGGAACAAGAGCCTCTACCCGAGGCCAATACTCAAGAGGGTGGTAGAAGGAAGGGCAGGGGCACCGCTACTCCCAACCACGATGGACAATTACCTCCTTCAACCGCCAAGCCCAACAGCACCCCGGCAGAAAATTATATCGGCCCCCCCCAGTTACATACCGACGCATTTCTGGCTATCGAGGGTGACAATCCTCCTTGCGCTCCTTCATCCATTGAGAGCGAATTTTATCCTCCCCTACTTCCCGTCATACAGACACCTCCGGACCGGGTCTTGATAAAGACTTGGTTCTCCGCGTTTAAAGACACGGGGCTTCTCGAGACTTTGAGGGGGAGGTTCATCACGGAGCTCTATATATGTGGGACTATCGCGAATGCCTGCATTCTCGCTACAGCTGCCGATGCTGCGAAGCATGGGCTTGAGGTCACCATCTTGACGGACTGTGTGGGATACAGAAGTGAAATGGCACGTGATAGAGCTATGCGAGTTATGATTGATGATTTTGCCGTGGAGGAGGTTCGGAGTACCCTGCTGGCCAAAAGTTGGGAGCGGACAAGAAACAAATTGAAAGGAACGGCTGGGCCAACCAGCCCAAGTATTTCGGGAAGTTCGGGGATGAACGTTGGGGCAACCGGAATTTCTAGGGAAGATTTGGTCAAAATGGTGGAAGGGTTGAAATCGGGTATAGCCCAGAGTGCGCGAAAGGATGATGCGAGAACGCAGGTGGAAAGGATGCTCGAAGTTGATACCGAGGGCTCAAGTCACGAGGGAGAGGACTATGATTACGAGCGAACGAGTGAGCTTGGAGAGTTGAGGCTGGATTCCCTTTCGCTGAAGGACGAAGAAGCGCCTCAACCGATGGATTCTGGTGAGTCAGCCGGGGGGCTAGCCGAGGAAAAGGCGGAATCTCCTGTTCCTATCCCCCCCAGCCCAACCTCCGCCAAACCACAGTCGCCCATCCAGGATAAAAGTCCAATAGAGAAGGCTCCCCGACGGAGAGAGCCGGTTCTGCGTAAGCCGAGGATGGCTAGCCGAAACAAAAAGTTCCAGTCGAAAGCGCCTGTGCTGGGCCAGGGTGATGTGCTAGGCGAAGGTGATTCGGAGGTGGTGAATAACGTTCTACCAGCAGATCTAGCGGAGGTCGCGTTCGAAAGATTGAAGAAGGAAGTTGCATGGAGAAGCATGTATCATCGTGGCGGGGAAGTTCCACGGTTGGTAGCTGTTGAGGGGGAGGTCAGTGACGACGGGAGGTGAGTTTGAAACAGAAATATTGTTCTCGTACGAGGGCTGTGGGGGGGTCCTCTAGATTTATAGCAGCATTTTGGACTCACTGTGATCCTTAGTTTCCCTATCTACCGCCATCCAGCTGACGAATCTCCCCCTCTGCTACCTTTCTCAGACACTGTTGGGCTCATCCGGGAGTATGTTAAAGGGGTACTCCAGCAACCAGTTAACCACGTTCTGATCCAACATTACCGGGATGGAAACGATTATATCTCAGAGCATTCTGACAAGACTCTAGACATCGCGAGGGGATCCAAGATAGTTAATGTAAGTTTGGGAGCTCAAAGGACCATGATCCTGCGCACCAAGAGGGACCAAGGAAAGCCGGATGAACCCTCAGACTTGGAAACAAGCCCCGAAAAATCTAAAACGAAGGAATCAGCATCACAGTCCTCACAAAGATCGGCCCAGCGGATCCCTCTTCCTCATAATTCAATGTTTGTCCTTGGTCTCGAGAGCAACAAGAGGTGGCTTCACGGAATCAAACAAGACAAACGCGCAGAATTTCTTAAATCGCCTAAAGAATTGTCCTATAACGGCGAACGGATTTCCCTAACCTTTCGACAAATAGCCACCTTCCTTTCGTCAGACGAAAAGACCATATATGGTCAAGGAGCTACCTCCAAATCCAAGGATGAGCCTCGGGAGGTCATAAACGGCGAAGGACCCGAAGCCGAGAGGCTTCTTGAAGCTTTCGGTTCCGAAAACCAGCAAAGTGATTTCGACTGGGACACCTACTATGGCACCGGCTCGGACGTCCTCCACCTGAAGGAACAGGTCCCGAAGCTTTTCTTCGTTAGAAACGATCCTAGCGGCCTGCGTGTGAAAATCTGCCTCTATGAGAAGGGGATACGATTCAACGGCCATGAACTTAAGATCACCGAGGTGCAGGACGAGACCAAAACACCTTCCTTCCTAACCCTCAGTCCGCATGGCCGCACTCCGGTGCTCATAGATGTCGACAAGGAGAAAACCACTGTCTGCGAATCGCTCGCCATTATTCAATACCTAGAAATGTTCTACCCCTCAACAGAGGATAAGTGGCTACTTCCATCGTTGGCGGACGAGCGCGCAGCCTTTGCCCGTGTCCTACAGCGAATGCAGGAATCCGAACAGCTAGCGGCTGTCTTGAAACATCCGTGCAATGAAGAAGCCGTAGAGCGAGAGCTCGCGATATGGGAAGAATATCTTTCCAGAGCCGGCGGACAAATTGCGGGGAGCGAGTTCTCCCTCGCGGATATAGCAGCGTATCCCGTCATCGATCAATTTGTGAAGAGGACCGGATACAAAATTGCCAAGTGGCGAGAAATCGAGGCCTGGCTGACTAATATGGGGTATCGGGAAAGTGTTAGGGCCACCCAGAGTTCTGAACTGGGCGTTGGGGAATGAGCCCAAGCAGTTTTTTCTTTTATCCGTTTCTTGCTTCTCTCCCTTTCTTCTCCTTCTCAGTTTCTCCTAGGGCATAGGGACGGTCCCCTTCGTCTTTTATTGGATTAAATCGAATTGGTGCCAACGATGGGAGGGGGATAGCGGCATTTACAATTTCTTCTCATTTTCTTGACCACGATTTTATATGCCAGATTTGTCGAGAATGGTATATAAGTAGCATCTTCCGCAGATTTGCGATAGGTTCAACTGGAGGACAAAGGGAGACATACCAGTGTGGCATTCCATGCCATAGTATTGATGTTCATACAGATAATCCCCGTTTCACCGGGATTGCGCAAGCATGCTCGCCTCATTTCTTGTTCTTGTATTATATTATTGTAGTTTGCCGTGGCAGGGTGGTGATGGGGAGGATATTTGGGCCCTCTTGGCACGTTTAAGAAACGGAGGTTTTTCGGGTTTTGTTGGGAGTTTCAATTGAAAATTCGGTATTTTGACATTGTGTTTTTTTTGGACCGTATTAAATTTAGCACAACTTGGGTTTTGCTTATGACGTATCGGACCGGGAAGTGGGTCTGACGAGGAAGTGAATCAGTTAGAAAGCACCAAAAAAGTTAAGGCCCAGAAAACTCAATGGGCACCCAACAGTAGGGAGAAGAAATTACGAAACCTACTGTACAAGATATCCCTGTGCACGGCGTGCTAGGCATGTCCTTTTTTTGTGCCGAATTCGGAGGTTTGATTTTGGTGAAAAGTCTGCTTGTCTTGTGGGTTCGAACAAAAATCGCATACAGGATGATGCACTTTTTGCATCGACCCACTCCCTAGCCCAATACGTTAGCGGAAGCATAACACCAGCATATCCACTTCTAACCAGGAGCAGCAAAAGAGAGTGACAAAAAGCATAGGGAGAGATAGATATGACCGGAAAGAGTGATGATAAAAAAGGAATGACTACTTTGCATAATCATCTGAAAGGAAGAGACAGGGTGCTGGACCTCTTATGGACCGTGTCGACGAATAATAGTAATTGGCGTGGGGGAGGGATGAAGGAGAAATTAGAACAACGAATGTTTTGAGATACCCCGCTCAAGCAATATAAATTCTAATCCTATAGGTGAAAAAAACCAAATTTTCCTTCACGATGTTGTGCTTCGATTATTAGCAGGCGATGGAACTCGCCCTATCCGGAGTCCCGGCAGATGAACCGTTTTCCAAACACTGATTGGTAGCGCTGAGAATATGGAGACTGAAATACTAGGTCCAGAGATGGTAGCACAGTACAGTACAGTATGTTTCAACAAATAATAAACTTGAACTGCGGGGAATAAGTAAATACCCTGTTGGTGCGGGTTTGTATTATATGCATCCACCGCCCGCACACACTTGACCGAGCACGAACAATTGGATGAGAAACACGGGGGACGGTCACGCCGCGGGAGAAGCAAGAGGAAGGAATATAAAGACTATAAAGGAGGGGGAGGGGTCCGCATATCAGTATTTCGTTTGCTGCAAAACCCTGAGTGAGAGACTGTGACTAGAACACAAGTACTATGATAACAGCCTGATACTAACCGGGTCAAAAACCCGCCCCGACTTGCATTGGCAATTGATTCCTGGTGTAGCTGAGAACGGGCTAGGAGGTGAATGCACATCTAGTATGAGCCCCACACCCCAAATCCCTATAAATCCTGGAGAGGAATAGGAAATGCCAACCCCTACAAGGCATGGGATAAAGCAGGGAGGCGTTCGGTCAAGTAACGGGGCAAATCTACCGCACAGGTACAGCATTGCTAAGGCCACAGAAGCGCAGCGCCTGTAATATTGGAGTTAGGTGGAAGACTCTGTTAGACCTGGGTGGGAACGAGGATAGCTGAATTTATGGGCGCGGGGATTTCCACAGGGGGCGACCGCTATCGGAAGGGAAAAGGCGGTGTGTAGGTCTCGAGGGCTTGTTACTATTTATTATGCGCCATCGATCCGCCCCCGGTTGTTACTACAGGTGGTTTTTGAGTTCGGTTGATTCGAATGCCTCCTTGGGCTATTCTCAATCATACTCTTGTTCCTATGGTTTGGAGATGTTGGTATCATAAGATCTATCAGATTATCTCTTCTTTGTGGGTGATAGAAAATGTGGTATTAGTATATTGAGCTCTTCGTATACAGCTACAGTCACTAGATTAAAGTCTTGCTGATTTTGAGCAAGCAATTACTCAGTAATGTCATTAAAATAAAGTATGTAGATATTAGTGAATACAATACATACCAAAATGCCATCCAAGAAGAATTCAATTTCATGTGACAAGTCAAAGACAGCTCAAAGAGAGATTCCAGATGTAGAAAAAGGCATGATAATTTCCCTTTTGCATATCTTTAAAAAGATACTATCAGTTATTACTGTGCTTATCAATTGTTCTTAGCCTACTGCTTGAAACTTTCTCACTCACACATATGACTGTAGCCACATAGAAATTTTTTTCCAGTTCAGAAGATGACTCATCTTCAGTCAGAGGAAGCACAGAGATATTATTTGTATAGCTACTAAGAATTAGGATATGACATACTTATCATTCTGGAATCAATATGTTTCTTATATCTCTATCTATACTATTGATTGGATTCTCTATAACACTAATATTAATAAATAGCTAGCCTAAACCTACCTTAATTAGTAGCTGTCCATATCAGGAAGAGTTAGACTAGGCCTTTGTGCAAAAGAATTAGACTGCTAAGAACTTTCAGGATATTCTCTATAGTAATAAGTATACTATTAGAAAGTCTGCCAATCTAGCCCAGAAGTGGATTTCTCACACTCCAGAAGAGAAGGTGGCTTGTTGATTATATCAAGTTAAGGAGGAGAGCCAATGAGGTTGACTTTATAGTTTGGGAATTTTTTTAAAATAGTTGCTCATGCCCCTTAGTGCCTATCTTAGAAAGCAAACTAGATCATTGAGTTTATATTACTCCTTTAGATAAACATCTTTCACCAGTACTGCAGGAGATTGCAAAGAATATTGAGGACCCCTTATTTCAACAGGGCAGTTTCTATGTTCATATGACCAAGGACATTAGCACTTATGAGTAGTTTGTGGAACATGCAATTGACCTTAAAGATCACCTACCTTTATTTCCTGATCTCAATACCATTAAGCACTCCTGGGTAGAGCTTAAGTGATGCCTTTACCGGCAATATATAACATTCATTACAGGGTGAGGCAGGGTAGGTATTTGGATACTCACCCCACCCCACTCCAGGTGCATTGATTGATACTAAAGACTGGTATTGATATACTAGATATTAGTGTGGTGGACTTTTAATTTTTCATTTTTAATTTTTAGTTTTTAGATTTTAATATCTCATCTGATGTTTTCTTCTTCTTTGTTTCGTAGCAGTTGGGGGGGGACATTATACGATTAGGAGGGGCGCAGACTGTCTTATATTCCTAACTCGATTTCTTTTCTTTGTTTTCACATTCACCATGTTTATTCGCAATATATACCCATTCATCCATTACAGATTACTTCTATAGCCGCAAAGTCCTATATCGTCACCTCCGGTGCAGCGCCGCTCCCGATCCGGTGGAAAAGCCCTGGTATGTCTGCAGCCACATCCTTCGCCCTCGCGCTACAGTACTCACCTTGTACCGGCTGGGTCATTTTCCTAATAAGGACTTTCACGCACCCTGGAGTCCCGCAAAGGGTAAGTATGGGTGAGGCTTGGGATACACTGAAACTCAGACGGAAATATTTTTCCTAGATATAAAAAAAAACAGGGCAGACAACACAAATAAATTTAGATCGCATCACTGGTTTGATATCATGTTATCCTGCTAGGTCAGCTCGGTGGCGTTGTTCCCCCGAATGATAAGGTGACTCAGGGTTCAATTTACGAGTATCGGGTAATGCCCTGTGAGGCATGAAGCTCTTTTAAGCGTCGGCGCTCGATAGCCTTGAAGCTTTCCTACTGGGATGCACTATGTCAGAAGTAATGCCGGACGAAAGCACATCCATGTCAAACTCGACTCTCGGACCCAGTATTATACTAGGCTTTAAAATGGCGCTATAGAAAACCTGTTTGTTTGCCGTGATGGCGGGGGATTGAAGCACTGATACGCTTGCGAGCGGGATGGGTTATGACAATTTTGGGATAAGGGAAGGACTACCTAGCCCAGTGAATGCCAGTAGACTATACTTGCTTTGATAAATATCATTGGGGTCCATTGTTTACGAGTATTTAAATATCCCACGATGAGCAAACGCCGGTGCTACACGTGCGAGGGACATCCCTAGTGGGCTCACAGATGTACAGCAGTGACAAATACAGGAAACAGATCCCGAATGCTTGACCGGTGAAACCTCCATATTCACCCCGTATCACTCGCTCAATTCTAGTGGTCCAACTGTAGGTTTACACAACGTACTTGTGATTTATGATACATACAATATAGCAACTCACCGTATACCTACCAGAAGCCGTTTTACGGGCCAGTATCATATAAAAAGGCATCGTATCTCAACGGAGATGTACTATAGGAGTGGGAATCGTCAGCAACCAGACACCCAGGGATATCCGAACACTAATTTGACCACTTCCTCCAAGAAAACCCCCCCACGGCACCGCAACTGCCGCGGACCAAACACCTCCTGCAATTATTCCCCAGAGACCCCCTGTGGGTGAATTCCCGGAAATCCTGCCCTTGAAGGAAATGCCTCGATTTTGGTTTGGTCTACCGTCCACACTTGTTACATCAGCCTCACTTCCGGCCGGGTTCTCCACTCCTATCATTGATTATTATTATATTTGATTACTTTTGGGATATAAGAATCTGGCAACGTCTAAAACGAGAGAAAGTAGGCATGAGATTTTGGTCTGGGATCACTTAAATGTTCGCCGGATGATATATAACTGTAGAGCCTCCACAAATCCCGCGGCAAATGGAGGCCCACGAGGCAAAGCCCACTATTTTTCGGTTTAATATTGGTATCGCAATGAGGTTCTTTTTAAAATCGGGCATGGAGGTGAGGTCTCTGCCCGGGGAAGGCCTTGGTGGCCCTATAGTGTCCGTCGCCGGGAGAGGAGGCCCATGGAATCCTCCGGTATTTCATAGCTAGATTTTCCCTTCGGATGGAAGAGGACCTCGAGACAGTAGCTCTACCGCTATTGCCAAATGTGAAGGAAACCGAAAGTAAGTTTACTTGTGAAAGTAAAAGCTCAGTCCCGACCGAATGCCTATGCCGCGCCTCTCGAGGACGAAGGGCGATGACACCTCGTTACTTCCCAGCTTTTCTGGCAAGAGTGGTTTTTCGGGGTATTCGAACTGTATTCCTGCAATAGGACAAATGCCATACATGAATTAACTTGTTTTAGTTGTTCGGTATCGCAGTCCTTATACCTACTCTGTTGGCGGGGGTGACAGTTAATGGGAAAAAATGAAGATACTAGCTGCACTACGTAATTTACGACGAGGAGAAAGGTTGAGATGCTGAACAGGAGGTAAAGGTGGAGGGTATAAACAGTTCTCAATGAGGGCAGAGAGCAGTGCATGAAAGGGCAGAGACGGATTAACGCTTGTGGACCGAAGATGGACAAAACCGGGCTTTTCATTCGATTCACCAGCCAAGTACCGTGCCGTACCTTCGGAGCCGGGGATCCGATGCCCGCCCGCCAGAGTTGTATTCTAGTTTCAACGGCACATATTTCTACTTAATGCCCCTACTTGAGATCTTGTACTATACTATCCATTAGCGTAGTGGATCCATCTAATTGGACCAAGCGGTATGGTGTTGGGACTTCCTCCTCCGGTATGGATTGGCGCTTTTCTGGTTTCTTTTGTCCTTCAGAGGGGATGGCTGGCCTACTTTTTGCTAGGGCTTTCACCCGGCTCCCAGGTTAACTTGGAGGATTCTCAGCTGGGTGCCGAAGATTGCGGTCCAACTATCCGGGTTTCTACTCGAGTATGATATCTTGGGTGAAGGGGGAAAAAAGGAGGGACACTTTGAATGTCAATGCTCTGGTAGGCATAGCGCACAAAAGATTTCTTAGTTGATATAGGTGTATTAAAAAAAAAAAATGGAAACCCCGAGAATCAAATCCCCATCCAAAAAAACAAAACACCAAAACTATCCCTAATCCTCCAAGGGCACTAAAAAAGGAACGTCTCATTGTCATCTCCGACTTCGCAACTCTCCTCGAATGGTTCCTCGGGAAGCTCATCTGTGAGATCCGCCTGCACCACATCATCCTCTCCTGTATCTTCGACCCCTCTGAGTCCCCAGAAGACCTTCCATCGGTTGCCGCGCTCCAGAGCCAGGGTTTCAGGAATGCGGCTACTAAACGCCTTGAATGCGAGCTTGCGATACTGCACGGCGTAGATCTGCTCGCCAAGCGTGACATGCGTCCTCTGAACCTTGGTAGCGGCGTTCCGGGCGGTGTCGAATCCGGCCTCCGCTTGTTCCCCGCCAGCGTTCGCACCTCTGGTTTCCTGTCTCACGGTCACGCCTTCTCTCACGTGGGAGTGGGCGTCGAAAATGGTGTGGTACCCGATGACCAGGTACACATCCGACCCCTCTGTGATCGCCGCTTCGAGCCATTTACGGGTTTCGACCGTTTTGCATGCTTCCTTGAACCATGCCCCAGAGTTTTCGAGCGTGTACGTTTTGGCTTTGCTGCCGGTCAGGTAGGCGGCGTCTTCTTGCCGATTCTCTTGGTTCAGGTAGAAGAGCCGGGCGATGCGGGCTCGGAGTCTCGAGTATTTGGAGTTTTTCTGGATCTGCTCAAAGTTCTGCTGCTCCTGACAAAGCGCTTCGGGTATCTCGGGTTGATCGTAGAAATCATCCAGAGGGGCTTTAGAGTTGAGCACCAAACGTCCGAGTTTGACGGACCCGAAGGGTAGGAGGTTATCTTCCAAGACGGTGTTGAAAGGCATTGTCGATTGATTGTTGTCTGAGCTGTGAGGTGTGCCCCCATCGAGGGTTATTATATACTGTACGATTCATCGTAGCGGCTCTAGGCAAACACTTTGCGGCAGGCGAATTGAGACAGAAACAAGGCTTTCAATAACACTCGCACGACAGTCAACCAGTTCACAGCCCGTAGTTCTCGAATACCGTTGCCGATCTCGAGACCTACCAATAAATTAATTAACTCATACGGTAGCATTGCCAGAATTTAAGGTAGCCTCGCCTCGGCCTCGCCAGATAATATCATCTGTGCGGGTTTCTGTGACCACGTCAGTTATCACTTCAGTGCGGTGCGAGTAGACTCATGTACCAGTAGTTAACGAGCCTAGGCTAGGACTTCAAGGAGTCTTTGGTATTGTACGAGTACTATACTATGAAAACTAAGACTCGCGAAATTTCTGAAAAGAAGAGAAGAGATAACCGGCCCATCATGATTTCAGAAACTTGGCTGATTTCAAATGAATCTCGTACAATACGGGCATTCCCGGGAAGTTAACTATCAGGAGTTTCGCGGGTAGGTCAAGAATTTTACCGAGAAAGCTCCCCTCTCCATCAGGACCGTTGGGGGGCGTTCAGGCTTCTGCTGCCTTGTTTGTCAGAGAGGGGCCCCAAAGCCTTGACGCAGAAGATCTCTCACGCGGGTTGCTGGAGGTCGGAGTGGTGAGGCTGAAATCAACTACCTACTGCGCACAAAGGCTGAGTGGAATTGTGCTTGCGGGGTATCGGCGCAATACACCTATCAGTCCGCAACACGGGTGAAGCCAATCCCGTACTGTAGCGGGGCAATGCTATCCCCCACCAAAAGAAACTTCTCGACAAATGAACCCCAATCCAAAAATTAGACTGTATTGCATATATTCGAGTATCTGCCGGAATCGAAATTTCCCTACGACAGCGCCCCCAACTACCGGTACAGTACCTTTTTTTTTTTCCTTTGTTTTGCGCCGCAGCCAGAGGATTTTCGAGTCACGATTCTACCTGAAACGACTGGTGGAGAGGAAATGATATCCCCATAATAATTATGTTCCCAAAAGGCGGAGAGAGAAAGTGAGGAAGCAATATGACCAACCAATTGAAAACATTTTCCTCGCAATGCCAAACTCCAGGCAGATATCAATGTGAGGAGATTCCCCGTGTCGGACTGTTAGCTAGCCTCGCCCCGCTATCTTCTCCACTCGTGTCTCCGGGCCGCCACTTCATTGGAGCGATGGGCCAGCTACTGTATATTTTTGCGCCAAACTATTCTATAGTCTCCCGTGTACTGTACAGACACAGTGCAGTACTGCGCATATCTGTGTTTCTACGGACAGGAATTCCTTAGTAAGTCCGGCTTTCGAACCAGACCCCGACCCCCGCAGTGGTAGTAGTACCGTTGAAAATAGCGCATCGGCTACTAAATTCATACATATCGTATTGACACAGCACTCTACTAATAACATACACGGTTTACTAGTATTATATATTCTACCCCACAACAGAAATATCCGCCACCCATCTCCACTACTATAGGCCAACTACCTACCGTACTGAATAGTAAACCCCGAAGGGCCGCAATTCATCCTACGACAAAACCCGCTCAGAGGATAGCCTGATAGAGGATAGGTTGAATTAAAACAGCCACAACCCTTCCCATCCCTCCTGTGCAGTACTGTCCCCGGAGTACTTTCTCTGTCTGAGCCTCCAAGCTGGGACAGCGCCTACCGTGTGCGCCGTAAGAGCTGGGGTGACTGAGCCTCGCGCTAAGACCCTCAGGATTCCTCTCCCTGACAGGGGGGCGGAATCACTGCCGAGAAAGAAAGAAGGAAAGAAAGAAGAAAGGGCTTCAGTCCTCAGCCGGGACAGAGGGCTTGAACAAACCTTACTCGAGTATGGTACGATACTAGGAGAGGCCACTCCAGCATCCGAGCACGAAGTTCACCCAATCCAGTTCCTACGAGCACAGCCCGGCAAATAAAAACACGTGCCGCGTCGGTACCCTGAGAAGGTTCTAGCCTAGACTAACTTCGCCTCCCAGGAAGTTGCCGAACCAAAATCAGCGAAAAGAACAGACACCGCCATAGCCTACTATCTGCTGTACCGCACAGTACCAATCGCTGACCCTTGAATGTTCGCAGGCCACTTACTTCCCGGCATAGCACAGTACAGTACTTGTATGGTACAGCGCTAAGGAATTCACTATACATTAAAATACCCAACCCCCCACCCTTCCTCCCGGTTCTAGTGATTCCATAAGAATTACAATAATTAAGCCTCACGCTAAGACGTCCATAATCCCCTTTTTTGATAAAGGGTGGATCACCTCGCGAAAAAAAACAGACCTTGAGCCCCCCGCTGAGAAAAATAAAGAGAAAAGAAATATCATTGACCCCGCCAGGAAAGGGTATTCCAACAATCAAGAGTGAGGTTCAATGATCCCAGCTCTTACGGTTGGGACCGCCAGAACTATAGTAGCTATCCGAGCACAATAAATAGACCACCCATGGAGCTCAGAAAATCCTCGCGGGCATTCTTCCAGCGATGGCCGGGAATGCTGCGAAATTTGACCTGTACAGTAGCGTATTGCTAGGTATGGCTTAGGGGGCAGTACCGGTATGCCTAGAACCGGTGTAACCGCTCAGACACTCGGCTGGCAGTGCACTGACGCACCTTGAGGTTGTCGAGGGTCGGGAAACGAAATATGACTTCTACTACCAGTACCAGCCTTGCCGGTATTTCCTTCTAGCCCTCAGACTTCCTTGTGGTGTGACCAGCCCGTAATACTTTGGCGACGACGATGAATTATACAGTACAAATACCGGATCAAAACGCTTCGCCCCATAGTCTATCCACACCAAAAGCATCCATTTCCATCCCCACCACTTGATAATTGTAAATCCGGGGATATGATGTAGGCTAAGCGGGAGGCCTGAGGTCCCCATGTACAATACAGTCCCTCTCCCTCCCCCCCGTACAAAACCTGAAGTCACCCTCACGCCAGAGTATACGATTTTAAGTCGTGAACCCAATCTCAACGGTTGCTACGCGCTTCTATAGGGACGAGCTCAGGGTGATTTCCTAGCTGATATCAAAATCCCCGTCTTTAACAAAGCACCTCTCCCCCCCCCCGAGAAGGTCCATTTTCCCCCTCGGTGTAAAGCCACACACCGAACGAAACCTTTTGGCTATGATAGGTACTTTTTTATATTGTGCGTCGACAACCCTTCCCTCAAATCATACTTTCCGACAGAGAAGCGGAGGGGACGCGCTAGGTTTCTCTGTGAAAATAATAATAATAATAAAATCAAGTACCTATCATACCGTCAACATCCACGGTCCTACGAGAACTCCATGGAATTCCCCTTTTTCTGCCCAGTTTCATCTGGTATTTCCATACTCGGCAAAGCAGTTCCAAAATTGGTCTCAGCGATGGTGATGGCGGTGGCGCCCCCGGGCTCTACTGGTATTGTTCATTCATAGCCCGCCTTCTTGTACTCCAATACTTCCGATAGTGCGATGACAAGGCGGCAATCTCAGCCACTCGGGCCATACAATCCCATAAAAGTACAATCAGCCACCGACTTCGCCTTCACGCCATCTCACCAGGGAGCCCTTACTACATGATATCGTGCCACACCGTCTCCAACATCAATGCACTATCGAGTGACCAATCATGATGTCCCTCGAAAACGACCAGACTGAGTACCATACCGGTACCCCCTCCCAGGGATCCGGAAACACCCAGAGTTTGCAATAGCCCCCCCGCAAAACACACCCCTCTCGCAGAAACAAGGATAATAAATCCCATGATCCCAATCCATGATAAGTCGCAAAACTTTCTCGCTCTTCCACTAGGACCAGATATGCAGGCACGTTATCTCACCCACCAGCTATATGCCCCTGCCGTTAAAAAGAGGAAATCCCAAAGAGTAGAGAGTAGAAATATCCATGGGACCTGTCGCGCCCAAGCCCCCAAACCCCCAGATCCCTCCAAACCCGGACCAGGCGGAAGGCCGGAGGGAGAGTATAGCATCCCACAATTGAAAAAGAACCCAAGAACCAATCTTCTAGATTGTTACGGTAGAAGTTTCGGATGACATCATACTAGGATCAAGAATTGTGTTCTGTTCGGTGGCTACAGGCATTCGGAGGAGGGCTGGAGAGGGGTTGCAGTATTTCCCCCACGGACGCCACCCCGTATCGGTAATCGAAGGTGGTGTGAGAGAGCCGGGAGGTATACTTCTCTCGGAAACGAAGAGGGTGTTACTGTTGGAATCGGTAAAGATAGTGTGTTGTGGTTGGTCATGGTGGACAGGGGAAGGATGTTGATCGGCAAAATTGTTCATGGAGGTCATTGGAGTTCGTTTCGTTGTTTGGAAGCGGACTTTAGAGATATGTCTCCTTTGTTATCACGGAAGCGAGCGGAGGAGGAACTTGGACATGTGTGGAATCACAGAGAGGGGTGTAGTGATCCATAGAGGGACCAGGTTACTTTGATGATGTCTTACTTATACACCTATCATTACCGATTAGTTAGAGGAGTGAGCGAATGCAAGATGAAGTACAGTACACACCTCTCCCAGGTATCCCATCACAGCAAAGTTCCATCCTATTCCGTTCTTTTTACCACTGCGCAATCTGATATCAGCCTCCGTCACAACAATTACGACACTCATGCGAAACTGCTGACATCAGGAAACCATGAAGGATGTGGTTAGGAAAGATAGAGAGAGTATATTGAAACAATTATTATAAATTAAACTGTTGTTTTTGCAGTGTGTTTCTCTACCCTCTAAGGCAGGGAGCAGCCTATTTTGATAAAGATTCATTTCTTGAACTCCCGGTCCTGAGCTGGGCACCTCTATTCAGCTCAACTGGTTCAATTATCAACCAACAGACTCAGCGAACAGCTACAGGTGTACATATAGGGAACCCTTCTCCTCCCCTCTTAAATTCTATTGATCCCATTCCGATCAGCCCCAACCACAAATTCACTGCAACCGGCATCTCCGGCAAATCCCTGATCTTCCTGGCACCCACTCTTCTGTGAACTGTGCCAGTCCTCCCAGCCAATCCAAACCCCCTCCCCTCTATAACCCATACCTCCATCGTACCAATCCTATCTACAACCTCTCCACGGTCACTCCAACGCTAGAGAGCATCATAACCTCCGCAGCCACAGCGACCACCTCATACTCCCCAACCCACCATCACACATCCAATCCTTTCGCTCCCTCCTATAGCTAATTCCGGTGATAAGCCAGACTATCTCTTGCAATCCGAAATACCCGGTCGTCTAGCCATCCAAATCTAGGCTAACAGGGGCTACTGCAGTTTCGCGGAACCCAGGGCACGCACAGCGCCATTTGGCTCTCGAATCGGTTCCAATCCCACGCGAAGCATGCTTTCCAGGTTCCTACATCTGTCGGCTTGATCCGGGTGATCTTTAGGGGTATCTTCTAAAGCATCTTTGGTGTGCTTTATGGCTATTTGGAGATCATCAAGGTCTCCTTTCCGCTC